CCTGCCCCTTTGGGAGGAAACTGAGCTTTCAAAGTTCAAGGTCATTCTCTCCAAATACACTCCTCAGTATACAGGGGAATGAAAGTGTGTTCCTTCAGTGCTACGGTGTACACAGTAAGATCAAATACAAGAGAGACAAAAAAACAGGTGCAAAGACAATATATATACCTGTTATTCTATAATCGTGCAGGCTTGTAATTGTCATCGGTCAAAATCATCCAACCAGTGTGCATTGAACAATCACCTCTGAATTAACGTGAAGAGGTTCATGCTGCTATTTTCCTGCCACTTTTTTCAGGTTACCGTTGTCCACCTAGTCTACACACATCATCCCTCCTTCACTGTGCTCTGCTAAATCTGCACCTCTTCCTGGCCCTTCTCTTCTGTCCTCTCACCTCCGTCTCTCGTCTGTCCTGCATGTCTCGTCTGCAGAGAAACTTTCGACACAACAACCCATGCAGTCTGAACGACATTCCCACAGCCGTGCTGTGTTCAGGCATCAAAAGAGACTCTGTTGGCTCCATAGTTGTATGTGATGGTCGGGGTTTAGGATTTGTATGTGTGTAGGCCTGAGTGTGCTATTTACTTGCAGACCCTTTTTAGGAGTATATTTAGAATTTGTGAAATGTTAGACCTCACCCCATTGGCAGATGCTAGGTTACTGTATGTGTTTATAGGATGGTTGATATTATGGATTTCAAATGAATGGAGGAATCTGAATGGAATGCACGTGTAGAGCAGGAGCGATCACTGAACGGTTTGAGCCTAAAGATGATGGGACTGCTTTATGCAAATACAACACATCCAAAGCTTGACAGGCCAGTCATGCCTAGTTATGGTTGCTAAGCGGTGATTGGACAATCAGTCGATGGACTAAGGTTACATAGTGTCATATGCTGTACAGATTGTGAAACATTTAGGAAAATGAGTAATTTTGAGCTATATTAATAAAAAGTGCTGTCAGTTGAACACATATTGGAGATTTTCAACCATCAATACACCAAATCAGGGAAAAGGTCTTGGCAGGATGAAGTCCATCCAGTTGAGTTCCATGGCCTTGGGGAATGTCAAGAAGCACCAAAGCTGTTCCGGTGGCCAGACCCCACTAATGTGTTTCCTCATTCATATTTATAAAGCTTACAAACACAATAAATAAAATGTGTTTTCTCCTGAACAGAGAGAGAGTGAAACATGTATTAGTATCAGTAGCAGTATGTCTGGAGGAGGATGCTCTCGTTTCAGTGTCTTTTTACTTCAGGAAGTCAAGCATGAAGTGGCGTCTCTGGAAGAAGTGAACTGGAAACAGCCGACGTGTTTGTGTGTATTTGTGTGTAACTCTGTTTTCTGTGAGCTCTATTCATCTCTGTATACTGTGTGTCTGTGTGTGCTCTGTGGAAGCACTGTGGGCTGTTTTTCCATTGAGTGTGTACTGTACATTCCACCGTCTAGTAGCCACCATGCCTGGCGTTCTCGGCTCTGCTGAGTCACTGCGCGGTCACTGCTGGCTAATCACACCTCAGGAATATGATAACACCGCTGCTGCAGTCTCCAAATGCTGGCATAACATCAGAATCACCCATCCCATTTCCATAGGGAAAGCAGTCAGCAGACTGTATGTTGGTTTATGTCAAAGCATGCCAAGACTTTTCCCTCTTGCAACAGTTTGTCTATTTTCAGCCTGAACAAGGTATTTACTGAAATAATCATGCAGCTGCTTGATGACCAACCGTACATGACTGTGAGTAACTGTGACACAGCAGCAAAGGATGTGCATGATTACTTTTTATACCTTCAAATCAATGTTGATGAACATGATTTTTTGGCAAATTCAGTACAGAAAAAATCTGAGATTTGGGAAGGGATGATTGGTCTATTTTATAGTTTTTTTTCATGACCCTGGTCCCCTGTCTGTGCCGTAACCAGTCAGCATGTCTGTCTACCTAGGCAGAGAAGTGGTTTGCACACAGGCAATCAAAGCATTTCATTTTAAAGTGTATTTGCATAAAGCAGTCCCTGTTGTATCCTAGCCATGACCGTGTTGAGGACCGACAGCAGCCTGCGCCACAGACACAGAAGAGACGGACTGTAATCTGCAGCACATGCTTTCAGGCACATTGTGTCTCTACAAACATGGGCACATGTCTCGTCTTGTGCGGTGGCCTAGTGAACAAGCTTCAAACAAACATCTACCAGGAAAAGGTGCTCTTGTGTCAGTTTGCAGATTGGATAGCTAAGGGTGATTGGCACTTTAAACGGCGTAAAAACAGACCTACAGTCTGTTTAGCTGCTGAGGGATTTGGTCCTGTCCTTTGCAGTACTACTGCATAGAAAAAGCAGGCTTTCGAGTGTTTGGCCCCTGAGCTCCAGCTACAGTGTAATTTAACTTTGACTTGAAAATGAACCTAGTCCAGACACAGCCCTAGTTTCATGGGAGGACATCAGAAGGAGGGCCAGGTATGCTGCATTATCATAAAGCATTCTTCAATAAACTTAAGTCTTCTTTTAAATATGTAGCTTGGTAGGACAGCCTGCTCGCTGTTTAGAGGAAATCATTGCAAAGAAGACAACATGTTTCTGCAGGTGTGTCTATGCTTGTGTCTTTGTACGTCTTTGTGTGTTTAGGTCTGTCTACAGCTCTGTGCGAATGTGTGGTGTTTCCACTGGTAGTGAGATGACGGGCTTGGTAGTGAGGGAAGAGACGAGGAAGAAACCCTCGATTTTAATTTAAAGGCTCCTCCACATCACAGACAGATGGAGCAACAGGCCGTGCTCTGCTGGGTTTCCTAGCAGTTTTCAGAATGAACGTGCACATGTGTTTTAGTGAGCTGGGATTGATGTTAGTGGGTTAGTTTGATCAGAGGTTGGTCCCTGGGATCCAGCAATACTAAGATCACTTTCTGGCATCGGACTCGGCACCTCGCATGTCTGAAAATGTCGGAGCCAATTTTTAAAATAGGTTTATCTTGATATGTAGGCCACAGATTTTAAGTTGAAACAACTATAGTCCTGCCGCCTAAAGAACTCTTTAAACTGCATTCTGTGAATCAAGAATAGTAGTATTATAACTTCTGCCATTTCTGTTTGTTCGTATAAAATGCATTGTGGGATACAACAGACAGACAGCTAGTAGCATAAAGGCAAGCAGTGACAGCGCCAGCAACCCACCTGTCATTCAAAGTGGCCACAGCACTAATTATGCACAACTTTAAGAGTCTGGGAGTACTGGTTTTCTCTACTGGTTTTCTGCTTTGGAAAGAACTTTACCATTTAAAAACATTCAAACTACTGTATATAGTTTATAGTATATAGTTTTCACTGAAACGAGGTTAAACCATGCAGCGTTAACTTTGTCAGCCTTTCTAAAGTTGTCCAGCTGGTCAGTCAGTCAGCCCAGCATGCAAACTTTTATTTACAGACTAGTACTGGACAAAGCAAAGAGATCCCATCGCCCCGTTTTTGATGGCTACTTGTGAGTTTTAGGATAGATTTGAAGATTCTATTCTATTAAAGTCTGGGAGAGATGAAGCTTTGCTGGTGGTTCCTAAACCTAGGCGGACTATGACTGAGTTCCTGCTAGAAAAGAACTACCGGTAGTTTCTACGACTGCCCGTGTCTGAAGGCAAAAGTGTTTATAGCTAATCTAAACGGCCACACTCGAAGGCAAGGGGAAAACCCTGCCGGGAAAAACCTTGTATTTTTGGGGGGTCCGGATGTGGATGACAGAAAAAGGGAGTCCGCATTCTGTCTGCAAAAATGGGGGAGCCTTTTTGTCCTCAGCTGCACTGCATTGGACTGAGCTCAGACTCAACACAGGGTGCAGTTGTTGTGACTCAACTTCTCCCGAGTTCAAATAAGAAAAAGGAAGTGTTTACCTCCAGTGGTCACACCAAGAAGAGTTGGAAAGACCCTCCTGCATCGACCTTACCTAAGAGGAGCTGAACCTAGATTTGAGATTTACTGTTTCCATGGAGGTTTACACCATTGTTAAACTCTGCTGATCCTTCACAGAGCTCTCATGGGGTCTTTGTTGGGGGCTTTCATCAGTCTAATTACTGTAATTCCCTCCTGTTGGAGAACAAAGGGACTGCTCTGAGGATAAGGGCTTTAGACACTGGGCCTTGTACCTGCTGGAACGCTCACTACCTGTTCCTCCAGTGGGAGAAAGAGATCAGGAAAAGCAAGAAAATACAGTGTGACAGCATAAAATTGAGATGACAGTAGACTCGAGAGCAGAAAGGGCCAGCACAGAGCAGAATAAAGTCACATGAAAGATAATGATACCTTTCTGTCCTGGCAAGCTGGAAATAATGTTTTTGCGTCACGTGAGTTAGAAAATAGATTTACCGTGTAGCATAAAAATGTTCAAGTCCTCTGCATGCAGATAATATAGTTGTGTCCCTTTTTTTGTTTGTTGTGATGCCACCAGGTGGCAGTACAGCTGTACTGCTGCAGTTAAATCCTGTTTCATACCAACATGACTGAGATGTTCTAAAAACTGCACCATGCTCTAGATAGGAGTCGAGGTGACGCATACGTGTTGGGATGGTGTTAGCAGGGCTGCTCTCACTCTGCGTTCATTGAACAGCTCTTTCACCCCATGACAAGGAAAGATGGTGTTGGAGGGGCTTGTGCTTATATATCAATGTTTGGTCAGAGGCTCTACAGTCATGGTGCAGCACTGTATTTTATATCCTACATGAGTCCTGTATGTGTTATAAATTGATGCTGTAAAGGTTGCAGGAGGCCAGTGTCATTCATAAGCACAGCACAAGCTCACAAACTTAAAATCTTGTTTTTACCCATGATCCTTTGCAACAGCACGTTTTGAATACAGCATTGAACCTGGGCTTGTCCAGGGTCGCAGCAATGATTATTCCATTCCATTGTGATTAATTAATATCTATGAATGAATTTGAAAAGATGTGTATGGTTTCTTTTGATGAAATGTTGTTTTTTATTGCATTTAGGTGTATTTATGGTTTTATCTATGTCTCCACCAGGTGGCTCTGCTCGGCTTGGACCTCTTATCTGCCTTAGTGACAAGGTTACAGGAGAGATTTAGGGCTCAGGTGGGAACAGGTAAGATTCAGATTTTTTAGTTTTTTATCTGTATTATGATATCTTCATCAATCGTCATTGTACCTTATCATCATTTCTTTATGTAACTAAAAGCCTCTGGCTTAAGATTTGAGTAGGGACTTGCAGACCAGTTCACACATAATTATCACTTTCTCTTAGTTACATTTACATACTTTTCCATTTTATCAGTTAGCTGACGCTTTTATCCAAAGTGACTTACATTTGAGTAACAACATAAGCATCAATACAGTAAGAGATCTACAAGTGACAATAAATACTAGTAAGAGCTATTTGTGCATACAGCATCAATCAGATAAATACCATGGGGAGGAAGTAAGAGTTGTGCAATCAATTCAAGAAAACTGGAAGGAGATAGTTAAAGGTTCTTAGAAGAGATGGATTTTCAAGCTTGAAAATCTGAGCTTCTCTCAGTTGAACTAACCGGTTCTTAGGGAATTTAAGGATACTTTTCTGTTAAGTTAGATATTAGTCATTCAGTACACCAACCTGATAGCTTGCCTTCTTCTTCTAAATTTGAATAACTAAATGACATTCTGTTGTCTGGGGTGTGTTCTCTCTTCACTCTCACCATGATTGCCAGCCACTCTCTGCTCTTCCCCCCTTTCTGCACTTACTTTGAATAAGAATAAAAGATCTTACACTACAGATTGCTGCTCCTGTTCTGACTGTGTTTTAGTGGATGCCTGAAAGCACAAGGACAAATCCACAAACTAATTTGTAACATATTTAAGAAATGTAAGTAAAATAATTTAATGACAAGAAACATGTTGGTAACACAAAGCCTCAGTGTTAAAGACCAAACACTTACTCACATCTTAATGACTTCTAGCCCAACAGTTATGTGCTGGCATGTCTGATTTTCGTTTCTTCAGTTGACTGGTTTGAACGGGCGCTTGAGTGTTTCCTTCTCTTCTCTCTCTCTCTCAGTTCTGCCCAGCCTCATTGATCGATTGGGAGATGCAAAAGATCAAGTGCGAGACCAAGACCAAACACTTCTGCTAAAGATCATGGAGCAAGCTGCCACCCCGCAGGTACCGACACACATGCTCACACACAAACATGTGTGTAGAGGTCATTTTCTCACCAGTTTAAGATGGCAGCACACGGCCTGAAGTCATTCTGATGATGATTAATGTAGATTTGCTGCCAGTGGTCTTTTTATTTTTTGTGTTGCTGTTCTCCTGAACAACCATGAGTGCACCCTGTTAGCTGATACCACACTTTGAATGTATCCATGGGAACAAAAAAATGGGTTTAATTAAAGCAATAGACCTAGAGTCAATAATATTAGCAAATAGACTGATTTTCTCATTAGTAGATTAGTAGCTAAACTTTTGAATAGCCAGTTCATTCTGTACAGTAATTGCCACAAGCTCTAATGATGGAACATACTGCATGCTATCAAGTTAGATAGCATAACATTATTTCTGGCTGGCTGGGTGGACAAACTGGCTGTTGTCCATTTCCTGTCCTTATAATGTATGTTATTGCAGTAATCCATTAAAAGAACAATAAAGCACACGTGCATATTCTTTGGCTGTGTGTTGTTGCAGTATGTGTGGGACAGAATGCTGGGAGGCTTCAAACATAAGAACAACAGGAGCAGAGAAGGCGTGTGCCTTTGCCTCATCGCCACGCTCAACACGTGAGTCAAATGCCTCCCTGCCATTTCAGTTCTATTGGTCTTAGTGGTGAAGATGTAACCATCTTTACAGCTGTTAGTTTCTGCAGTATTTTCCCATGTGTGTGTGATATTTATCAATCAATTCTTGTAAAATATACAGGATCCATCTTGTAAATGGTTACAGTTTCTTAAGCATCTCAGTTTGGAACAACATTTTTCTTGTTATTACATTTAAAAAACAGGATTTTTGCGGCTTGACTATTGTTCACTGCCCCGTACATACAGTAGGTGCGTGCGCTCTAGTCTACTTGTGTATCTCCATGTAATTGTGTTCTGTTGGGGCACTTTATTTTTATGCTTGTCTTCCAGATACGGAGCTCACGGCCTGACCCTCAGTAAAATTGTTCCACACATATGTAACCTCTTGGGGGACCCCACAAGTCAGGTATGTCAAGTTACGCTGTTTCTCCATCTGTGCCAATGTTGGGAAATGAGTTTCATTATTTATTTGAAGGACCTCAAAGTATTTTGTTTGTTTTGTGAAACAATATCAGCAGGTGGCAGTATAGCTGTACTGCTACATTGTAATCCAGAAGGTTTTGTATGAACACCACATATGTTCCATAAATTGCACCGTGCTCTAGATAGGAGTCCAGGTGATGCATGATTGTTGTGATGGTGTTGGCAGGGCTGCTCTCACTATGCGTTCATTGAGCAGCTTTCTCACCCCATGACAAGGAAAGCTGCTGTGGGAGGGGCTTGTGCCTATAAATGTTTGGTCAGAGGTTCTGCAGTCATGGTGCAGCAGTGAATGTGTATTTTATGTCCTATTTAAGTCCTAAATGTGTTATAATGTGATGTTGTGAGGGATGCAGGAGGCATCCAAACAAAACATCCTCAAAACAGAGGATTTGCTTGTTTTAATATTGCTGTAAACTGAATATTTGGCAGTGTTCTAATTTTGGTCTAATGAAAAAACAATTTTTAGATATTCTCAAAGTTAATTGATGATAAAAGTTCTTTCAATATATCCTGGATTTCTTGTCAGTATGCTTTTTCACTGGTGTATTATGTGAGAGGAACATGCATAGGTGTAATTTACACTGGGGACATGTCCCCAACACTTTTTCAAATGGCTGATTTTGTCCACATCACTTTTTGAAAGCATTTGTTAAAGAGGTCATATTCTGCTTTTTGGCTTTTCCCCTCTCATTTATTGAGTTATATATCTTTTTTTGTGCATGTAATAAGTTTGCAAAGTTCAGCCCAAAGGGAGTTCCCATCTCCCACAGAAAACTCTGCTCTGAACACAGCTTGTTTGTCGTCCAGCTGTTGCGCGTCATAATGCTCGCCAAGCAGCTAGTCCTACACGCCCTCAAGAACACCGGTGGAAAAACACTGAGTGACAAGACGTCCGCCTGCTGCCTCTCCTCTCCCTTCCAAACACTAGCTACCCTCCAGGCAGTCAGTGGACATAAAGTTGTTCCTGTGATGTAGAGACAGAGCTCAGTTAAAACTTTGTGGATGAAAGATAAATTTGTTACAAATTAAAAACTCACCACTCTGAAACTCTTGCTCCAGTCCATGTTGCCAAGCTGGTAGGGGGATATACAGCTGAACCGAAGCCGGGTTTACCTCACAACCTGCCCCTACTCTGCTTCTGATTGGCTATTAGTCCTGCGCATGTGCAACTCCCAACAAAGATCTTGTAGAGACAAGATGCTTCACTCCATAGCTAAAACGAAGCCTTCAACACAGGGTGAAAAGAGGAGCTGCAGCAATGTGCAGTATGAAAAAAACTATGGTGTTTTTTGAAAATGAAACCATGTAAACCTATTCTGGTACAACCTCTAAATTTTGAACAGAAAAATTAGCAAATGAACCCAATATTGTGCATCATCACATCTCGTTAGCTAAGTGTATTACCGTCACACCCCTAATCTGAGCACTTATGTCTCCACGACTTTTCTACACAAAGTGGGAACATGTCATGTTCCAACGCAAAAAGAGGCAAACCTGCCATGGAAAATGCATGCGTTGGAGCAATGAATCTAGTGCAAACGACAAAAGTAGTAATTGTAGTAACAAATGAGTAAAGCAAATATTTCAAGAAGGATCAACATTTATTGCATTTGGTAATGATTTCATGTGGTGTTGCGGTCATCAGGTCCGGGACGGAGCCATGGGCTGCTTGGTGGAGATCTACAGACATGTGGGAGAGAGGGTCAGGATGGATCTCACCAAAAAGGGCCTGCCACAGTCACGGTACGACAAAAGGAAGCTGCCAACCTGTCGCTGTCTGTCTTATTATTTGAGCCGCCTCCTTCACTTTTCTGTGCTCCATCATTTCTCACTCACTCATACACATACAAACAAATGCACACTGTGTTTGCAGGTCACATGCTGTTAAAGTGGTGAGAGTCTGGACACAGAGAGGTTGCAGGCTACAACACTGTGGTTCTCAAACTATTGGAAGTATTAAGTGTTACAGCTTTAGAACACCCGTCTATTAGGGGAGATTACAATCATTTGCCGACCCATTTATATCTATAAGGGGAGAGTAAATAATAGAAACACCTCTCAATATAATGCAAGACAATTCACCAGCCTCCGAAACGACCACACAGTTGAATCACTACCTCTCTAACACAGTTTGAGCAGAGGATGAACGTTATAACCTTCATGATGGGAGGATTTATTGGAGGACTCTTTTAGACTACATTAGTTAAGCTAGGTGTGCCTAATAATACACTGGCAACAAAGTGTATAATTTAAACTATCCAAGCTAAGATTGTGTGAAAATGTTAGCTTTATAAATTTCATCATGTTCTGCGTCACACAGACACACCCACAGTTGCTCATGTAGGATATGGGTCCTATGTATGCCCATAGGTGAAGAGGTCTCCCTTATTTTCATTTTATGTTACATGTTTCAGATTCACCCAAAAGTAACCCTCATCTTAACACGTCGCATATAGCTGCCATTATTTTCAAACCACTAATCAAAAAAGAAACCGCTGAATTATCTGAAACAGCTGCAAGGTCCTGTGTAGTTTGCTTTTTAAACTGAAGGCTCTAGTTTCTAAAAGCGGTCACATTCATGAGATGGTCCTTATTTTCTGATGTACTCACCTTGTTTGTGCTTTGTCACAGATGTTAGTGCCAAAAAAGGTTTCCGTTCAGGTTTTGGTAGCTATAGCTAACCTCACTGGTATTGTCAGCATCTCTCAAGGTGGTTTTACAAAACCACAGCAGTGAACTAAAATACTGCAGCGTTCTCCGTGGAGGTTCTTTGACATAGCTGATAACACGGCCTATGGATAAGGCCCACTATCATGACATTTTATGTAGCACACATGTAAACGCTGCATTGGTTTTGAAGACATTTTGGTCTATGTAATCACCTCAGCTGTCATCTCAGCTAAGCAGCTCCACAGTTGGGTTAAATGCCTTTGCTCAAGAGAAGATCTCAAATAGTTACTGAGGTGAAGGCATTTCTGTTTCACCTTCAATGTAATCCAGATTATTTTAGACAGCCTGGGGGTTTTAAATATTTATATTCCAGCTGTGAAACTGTAATTTAATGTGGGACTGACAAAATCTGCAATGTGTGTAAAAAGCTTATTGTAACAAATTCAAAACACCAGTTGTCTTCTTAAAACTGCTGACAAATAAAGTCCACAGAGCAGACAGGTACTGACGGGAGAGACAGACAGGTGTGTGTCTGAAGGAAATAGCAAGGTGACCAGATTACTGTAATTTGTGAGTAAATGCTAAAGTAAGGTGGAGAATTAAGTAGAATTAAAAAGGTGAGATAAGAAAAAACAGGCTACTAGTAATATATGTATTCTTTAATATGTTTTCAAATATAAAATACAAATATACCCGCCACTACTACAGTTATATTGTCATTCTGTAGGGATCCAGCAGCCTAACCTGGGGTTCTTATTTATTTTGAGATGTGTCTGAGTGAGAGAAGCTCCTGTAACATGCTGCACTTTGCAGAAAATTAAAGTTATTTAATAGTCAGTGTTTTATAACCTACAGTAGAATGGACTCTGTCAGAAAAGCAAACGCTAATGGAGAGCCTAATAAAGAAAGAATTTTCCAATAAAGAACATTACAAAATGTTTGTGTATGCTGTCAACTATAGTTTTTATAAAGAAAGAAAATCAGAATCGGCAGGTCATACCTTTAAAAAAAATTGGTAATCGGAATCGGCCGGGGTCGGTGCATCTGTAGTTTGGAGGTTTCAGAAGTTACTTTATGCCTTTTTTCATTCCTTGTGTCGGATATACGACAGAACTCTCTGGCAGCCTTTTCCAGCCACTTACATCTGATTTATAGTCCTCCCTCTTGTAATCAGCCCCTGAACAAGCCCTTTGAAAAGGGTTCCAGCATATTATAGCTCACGTCTGGGTGAGCTGCAGCCAGCAAACATGGTCAGACCCTTTCTGTTACCTTTCTGACCTCTTTGTCCTTTTTTACACTGGACCATATGTCTGCATTCCACCAGCATCTCTCTCTCTCTCTCTCTCTCTCTCTCTCTCTCTCTCTCTCTCTCTCTCTGGCCCTTCTGTCATTTTGTCATTTGTGTGGAAGATCTGGACGTCGTCTATTTTGGTCTTTGGCCATCCCTTGTGCACAGAGCAGAGGGAGAGCTTCTCCCCTCTGAGGTGATGGACGGTACAGTCAGCAGCTCCAGTGGCCGTTTTACTGTTTGTCGTCATTCTATCTGCTTCAATTATCTGAATTGTGTTTTTACTCCACTTTTATTTAGTATCCTTTCTACATATTTATCATCATCTGTTTGCAGATTCTTTATTTATTTCTCTCTGTCTACATTCCCAGGTTGAATGTAATCTTCAGCAGATTTGATGAAGTCCAAAGATCCGGGAACATGATCTCATCCTCTGGCTCAGGTGAGAGTTTTTTCCTGTCTGTCATTATTTAAGCTTGCTGTTTTAGCTTTATTGACTTCAGCTGTTGCCTTTGTGTTTCATTGTGTGGCCAGCACAGTGGGAACTGAGGACTGGCAGATGCACTGTGAATATCAGGGCCATTGGGGTTTTAGTAGATGTGTTCAGTATATGAACTGGAGAGTTTGTGGATCTTGAGCAGCTCTGTGGTTGTTTGTTATGTGGCGCAGGGAGCAATTTAAGAAATATCTGTGACAGTAGAGCTTTTTTATGATGAGTTAAGTAGCAGGCTTCTCCATTCAGGCTTTCATTTCCATTGCATTGTCAATGTCTTTCAGCCGACTGTTACCCTTCTGTAGCATCACTCGTCTTTCTGTCACACTGCATTCGGGTGTGTCAGCCTCTTAAAGACTGTACATTTTGCGCGCATGTCTGTGTGTTGTGTGTCTGTAGACTTCTGCACAGGTGGATTCGACCCTACTGCTGACTCTGTCCCATTACAGCTGACTACATCTACCCTGCTCCTACAGGGACAGCAGCTGAGCCCTGGAGAATACACTTAGACAGGGCTCAGCATATCAAAGCAGTCTGCAACATCTCTCCTTTTAGCTGCCCCTTCACAACATTTCACACGTGGAGTTCAGCCTCCGCGACAACCTAATTAATAATGCCATTCAGGAGCGCTTGCTGACCCCCTAGTGTAAGCTGAATTGTTTTCTGTCTTTCTGTGGGGACTCCCCACTGTTTGGTTGAACTAAACAAATTTAAAATGCCTTTTCTGCAGGCTCATTCTCTCACTCAAATAACCTGTCTTGGAAAACCTGATTCCTGCTGTTTGTATCTGTAGTTATTTTAGCAATATATTTTAACCTGATTATAAACTAAAGTACAAATCCTATTTATATCGGCATTAAAAGGACACTCCGCATATTTATCACATGAAGATCTGTTTCGTGCCATGAATGGTACTACTCAGTCTGTAGAAACAGTTGGTGTGTAAGTTCCACTGTGTTGCTGCAAGAGCTTCCTTAAAAAAGCAGATAACCTTGATAATGTCATAGTGATGTCATCTGTGTGATCTTCTCTTGGGCTTGGTCACCGCAAAGTTTTAAAGAGGTGGTATTATGCTCATTTTCAGGTTCAAAATCCTATTTAGAGGTTGTACCAGAACAGGTTTACATGGTTTCATTTTCAAAAAACACCATAGTTTTTGTCATACTGCACATTGCTGCAGCTCCTCTTTTCACCCTGTGTTGAAGGCTTCGTTTTAGCTATGGAGTGATACATCTAGTCTCTAAATGATCTTTGTTGGGAGTTGCACATGCGCAGTTCCTAGTTAAGGACTACTAGCCAATCAGAAGCAGAGAAGGGTGGGTCAGCGAAAAGACGGCAAATGGCTTCGATTCAGCTGTAGGCTACATGTTGCTGACCAGGTTGGCAATTTGGACTCACAGCTCACTGTTTTTCCACCGGTGTTTTTGAGGGCGTGTCAGACTAGTCGCTCGGCGAGCATTATGACACGTATTTTCTTGTGACATCACAAGATAGCGGAAGTAAAGGCTGGACTGCAAATGAGCTGTTTTCAGGCAGTTCAGAGCAGAGTTTTCTGTGGGAGATGGGAACTCCCTTTGGGGTGGACTTAATAAAGGAGAGGGGAAAAGCCAAAAATCATAATACCACCAAAAGCTTGAATCACAAACTGGAGTTGTGGAGTTTTGAAGATGTCAAGTTTATTTATTAAGCACATTTAAAAACAACCAGTGCTGACCAAAGTGCTGGACATGTTATACAGTAGAAGACATAGCTTCTACTGTAAGACATAGCTGTGGTCCTTAAATGAAAAAAGCTACCTTTAACAACAGAGTTTATATGTTTGTCAAATTTGAATGCAGAATCGAAGATAACCCCTTAATTCCTAGCACAGGGTTGTACATTAATGGACAGGGGGGCCAGTTTTTTTGATAATTCCTCAAGTGAGTTAGGGGAACCAAATAATATTACTTCTGTCTTGTTTTCATTTGGTTGGAGAAAATGTATTGCCATCCAACGCTTGATATCATTTAGACAGTTGAAAATGGACTGTAAGGATTTTGAGTCACCTGGCTCCAGAGGTAAGTACAGCTGAGTATCATCAGCATAGCAGTGGTATAATATATTATGTTTACAGAGAATGGAGCCCAAGGAGAGCATATACAAAGAAAATAAGATTGGCCCCAGGATTGAACCTTGAGGTACGCTGCATTTAATTGCTGCTGAAGAAGAGTAATTGTTACCAATGTTAACAGAAAAGGTTCTATCTTTCAAGAAAGATTGAAACCACTGTAGCGCGCCACCCTGGATATCAACCCCTTGCTGGAGGCGATCCAGGAGGAAATCATGATTAACTGTGTCAAAAGCACAATTTCCAGTATCACCAAACAGCAACAAATCATTTAGTACCTTAAGCAGTTCAGTTTCTGTACTGTGATGTACCCTGAAACCTGACTGAAAGTTATCGAGCACATTGTTTTTAGCTAAAAACGAGGAGAGTTGAGAAAGAACGACCTTCTCCAATATTTTGGACATAAAAGATCATTTAGAAATGGCCTAAAATTATTAAAATCCATAGAGTCAAGATTGGGTTTTTTAATAAGAGGCTGAACCACAGCATGTCCATTAAAAGTGGATGGAACATTTCTATTTATAAGAGAGCTATTTATTACAGACAAAAGGCTAGGACCAAGAACATCTAAAACCTCTTTCAAAAGACGCGAGGGGACAGTGTCTGTAGGGGCAATTTACCTCGCATGGAAAGTCTAATGAAAGATCCTATTGAACTGCATTGTTGGAATTCTAGCATCTAGGGCTGAAACGATTCATCGATTAAATCGATTACTAAAATGCATCAACGCAAATTCTTTGCATCGAGGCTTTGTTTAATCCATATGACTGTATTGCACACTGTTTCGCACGGACATTTATTACTGTTGCACATCACGCTTACCTGTGTGAACACGACGTGAGGAAGAAAGAGAAAATAGTGAGACAGCACCTGAACAAAAAGCAGCCGGTGTTCTGCCAGCAGACCACAGACAAGGTAAAAGTAACAGCAACTGAAATCCTGATTGATTGTTGATTTGAAGGCTAGCCAAAGTAAGCCACAGACCTCAGCTGAAAATGTACACACGTGCGTACATGTTCTCCTTTTTGGGCCGTGAGTTATAACCTCACAGTCGAGAGTTAACTGGGTGTCAGGGTGCTGCACCTTTTGACTCACCTGCTCTCTCTGTAGCTCAGACAATCCCTGCTTCCTTTGTTTGCTAATCCATCCTTTCACCCTATCTTTATAATAAAAAACAGCTGTTTCGTGTAAAGGATCACTCATTTCCCGTTTTTACATTTCACTTGTGTTTTCTTGACAAAACGTGGTTTGGAGACCTGCGTCGGCTGACAGAGCCGCTGTCACCTCGTGTAGTGTGTTGACCCCCTGTCACCGATCAGTCACGTAGTGTGAACGCCACAACGACTTCAAGACTCCCGTCACAAGACAGCAAGTCGTGTATTCTGCACAAGCCTTTAGTATAACTTGTATAGCACTCGGGTGATGTTTGTGTTGGTAAAGCAGCTGTCTGGTTGTTGGTCTGGTCATGTTGGTCTGATGTTTGCTGTATGACATACTATGAATTTCAGAAAGGACCAAAACATATCTATTACCTATAAATGTGCACAGCTGATCCCGTTACGGGTTGGGGGGGGGGGTGTTGAAATAATCTATAGAAGTTTCTAATATTAAAATCATCATTAGCTGCAGCCCTAGTAGTATCCAGCATTTTTGGAGCTTAACCTGTACTAGTAACTAAAGTCAGGATATCTCAGCCTCTGCTGGATTTAATTTGAGGTATTTTTATTTATTTATTTATTTTTGTCTCTGGAAAGACCCCCAACTTTATGGAAGTTCACAAGTAAATAATTGTAGTACCCATCCATCCATACATCCATTGTCAACCGCTTATCCTGCATACAGGGTCGCAGGGGGGCTGCCATCGGGCGAAAAAGGGGGGTACACCCTGGACAGGTCGCCAGTCCATCGCAGGGCTAATTGTAGTACCCTTTTAAGGCAATACTTAATTTATCACTTCATCAGAGTGAAGCTGATTAGAACACAAATTACAAAACACAGATTATTTAATGAACCAACATCTTTGTCTTGTCCAAGAAACTGCCAGTGGGTTCATTTGCTTAATAATCTGCTTTAATTGTAAGCATTGAATTTTGAAATAATGTTTAACTTTGTAGGAGATATTGATTGACTCCCTCCCAGTCAACTTTTCAGCAGAGTTCATCTGGAAAGCTAAAAGGAACATGCAAACATGACTCATTTTAGCAGTTATGAGATAGCCCAGCATCATATCCATCATGATCAGCTGCTTGGCTCACAGGCTGCACTGAAATTGACTTTGTGATTGTTGATGACGACTCATTTTAATTTAAATCCATTTGCCGCAGAGCTGAGAAGAATGTCTGGTGTTAACATGGACAGGCTTTTAGCTTGGAATGACAGTGCCAAGAACTCCAAAATAAACTCACTGTACAGAAGTGAGAGGAGTAGCCACAAAGGAGTATTATCTACAGTTAGAGTAGAGGTAACTATATGGCTAAACGTATCTGGATATACAGTATATGCCCACCTGCATTTAGATAGTATAAGAAAAAACTGCATTGAAGTTGTTCATTTGGATTTTGACAAGACACAAATTTCCCTAATTCTCTCTCGCCATGTCTTCATACTTGTGATATGTGTACAGACCTCCTTCTGGGAGAGATGGAGGCTTAGGGGGAGGCTTTGCTGTAGTGCCGTCACACAGGCAAGGGGGAAGGGGGGGGGGAGAGGTAGGGGTAGAGATGGTAGAGGGATGGAGAGCAAAACAAAGCAGCCATTTCGGTAGCACCACTGAGAGGTAAACAGTGGGCGAGAGATAAATGGCAGAGAGAGAGAGCGCTGAGTAATCAGCTGTGTAGCAGCA